GCGGCCACTGTGCCCGATCCGCTCCAACCCGGGCGCCCCGCGTGGGAACAGCGGGCGGCGGGAGCCGGAGGTGAGGGTGGTGGCACAGGTGGCGGGCCGTGCGCGGGCTCGGCTGTGCGGGGAGGGGGCGGTTGGGACGCGGCTCTTTGTCTCCCGAGCCCGTTCGCGGGCAGTAGGCGCCGCTCCTGCTCCTGGCAGGTGCCGGGGTCCCTCGAGAAGGCCGAGAAGGGCGTCCTGGGCCCCCTCCGCTCCCCGAGAGTCCTTAGCGGCTCCTTTGCTCCCGAGGCTAGTCGTCTAGGTCCCGAAGGGGGCGAGGGATGGTGGGTGAGCCAAGGCCGGCCAGGCTTCTAGCATTTGGTTAAGGTGGTGGGCGTGGGGCTTGGGGACAAACAGCTTAGCAGCGGGGCTGGTGGGTGGGACAGATGGAGGGACCCGCTGGGCTGGTGGATGGTATGATGGAGGGACCCGCTGGCGGCGAAGGCTGAGGCTCTGACGCCCGTGAATGGCGATGCTGACCTGGAGACAGCGCTTGCGGGCCCTGATCCCTGCGGGTCGCTTCGCGCGCGGTGCAGGACCTGGGATGCTGACGGGTCTGCCCATTAGGTGCAGGATGGACAAGAGGGACAAGTCCAAGGCTGGGGCCACCGCGAGGACGCCGGGTTCGCGACCTCCGGGCCTTCCGACCCCCAAGCCCCCAGGGTCTCCACGACCTCCTCCACCAGTTACCGCCGCGGCCCTCCGCGTTCTCGGAGCAGCGGGGCGCAGGCCTCAGGCCGAGCGAGTCGGGGGCATGGCGGGAACCACACTTCCTGAGGCCGCTGGCCGCGTGGGACCGTCGCGGAGTGCGGGGGCAGGCCCCCGGAGTCTAGGTATCCCAGCTTCCTTACCCACCCCATCTTCCCCACTTTCTTCCGAGACACCAACTCCCCCCGCCCCGCCCCCCACGTCCTTTTAGGGTACCGCTGACTCGGCCTCTCCCCGCAGCCTCCAGGCCCCCAGCAGCTGCGAGAGCAGAAAGGGCCCCAGCCAAGGCTCCGGGCCCTGGCTCCATCTCTAGCCCTGCACGCGCCAGCGGGGCCTCCAGGTGACAACTCCCCTTCCCCAAGCCACCTTTTTAATTTTAAACGGGAGCTCGAGGGGGTCCTTTGGACAATTGGGTGAAATTCAAGATTAGTCCACAGAAACGGTCAATGCCCCATTTCACAGATGGGAAAATGGAGCGAGGGCTGTGCTCTGAGCCCCGCCCCTCCTGTCCCCAGGCCAGGGCCTCCAAGCCAGAAGGGACTCCAACCCCCAGCTGGGGAGCCCGTAGCCAGAGCAAAAGCCCCGGAAGCACCCCGAAGGAGCAGCCTGAGTGCCGGGGCACGGAGAGGTATGTACCCTGTGGAGGAGGGTTCCTGGGCAGCGAGGGGGGGCACCAGCGGTGACCTCTTGGCCTTCTGCTTTGTCTCCAGACAGTTCCGGGCCCATTCCCGGTGCTTCCTCCCCGGCCATTGCCCGTCGGTCCCGGGTGCCTGAAGTCGAGGCAGCTCTGAGTGTCAGGCAGAGACGCCCGACCGAGGTCCCTGCAAGGAGGTCCGTGAGCAGCGCTTCGGAGCTGAGCCCCGCCACTAAGAAGCGGCCCAGTGCAGGCGGGGGCCTCCAGAGACCGGTTATGCGTCCACTGAGCTCCAGTGCCACCCCGGGGCCCCCTTCAGCCAGCTCCGGAACTTCCCCGAGAGGGATGCCCCGGCCCCAGGCCCATCCCTCTCAGCCCAAATCGAAAGGACCCCAGGCTCTGCGCCCCCCGCTGGCCACACCCCTAAGGAAAGCCACGGCCTCTGGGCGGAGCCAGTCTTCTCCGCTCACCTCCAGTTTCCGGGGCCCAGGCCCACGGCAGGCACAGACTCCCCAGGTCACTGGCTCCCCCTTGCCAGCCACACTCCCTCCTTCACCCACCAGTCCCCCTCAGTCCTCGCTCCCAGTTCAGGCCCTGTCATCCCCACAGACCACATCATCTCCCCTTAGCCTTACCAAGCTTAGGCACACGCCTCCTCCACCAGTGCAGCCTTCAGCTACACTCCCTCCCCCAGCCCCTCCCTCTCCATCAGTCACGCCCCCTGTGCAGGCTCCACCCACTTTCCAGGATACCACCTCTCCCCAGGCCACGTCCACTTCGGAGGCTCCATTCCCACCGGTTTCACGCCCTCTGCAATCTATGCCCCCCACCCAGCCTTCTCTGTTGGTGCCCGCTCGACCCTCCCCCTTGGCCACCCCTCCTTTGGCACCTCTGGGAACAGCCACGCCTCCTCCACTGGCTCCCCTTTCTGTGACTTCTCCGCGGAACCCGCCCTCTCCTCTAGCCACACCCTCTCTCCAAGCTTTTTCCTCATCTTTGACCCAGTCCTCTACACAGTCCCTGCCCTCACTGTCTGTACCTTCTCCTCAGGCCACGCCCCCAATGCAAGACTGTCCTGTCCAGGCCTCTCTGCATGATGTTCCTCCCTTGGACACACCCCTTCTAGAGGCTCCACCTTTTCAGGCTTCTCAGACAGTGCTAGAATCTCCCTCTCCGCTGGCTACGCCCCTCCCTCCACAAGCCACTCCCTCCACTTTGGCAGCTTATCTGAAGACCCCATCATCTCTGATCTCAGGGCCTCAGGAGGCCCCTCCCTCTCCCCCAGCCTCACCTCTGCAG